AATACGCTATACGGCAGATTTTTAATTATGCTTGCTTGCAAGATCCTAGACACTCAAAAATATTAACTTAATTAATAAATAATAATAGATATAATAAGGAATTAATAATAATTAACTTATTACTAATAACAAAGTTGATTCATAGCTTTTAGTGACTAATCATGGGAGAGATAAACTTGAATATTTTTTAAGAAAAATAAGAGAATATATATTCTTTTAATATCTGTGTCTCATATTAAGGTAGTCAGCATATTGTATATCCCTCCGTTTTTTTTTTTTAATGGTCGTTTCTTTAAGGGTTTTCATTTTTCAAAATTAAAAAGTCCCGTCCATGTGGCTTGTTTGTATTTTTCATACTTTTCATCACGTACATCTCCTCTGTCTATCTTTCAATTTTGTTGGTCATTTCTCTACTTTTCGCCCCTACCTTGAATAGAATTTCCTACTTTCTCCTCTTTGAATCTTCTATCTTTCTCTTATTCTTCCCCTCGTGACACTTATCCGTATTCGTTATTTCCATCAGCTAATTCTTCTTTCGCCTACTGCTGTCTTGCTTCTATCCTTTTCTCTCGTTGTTCGAAATCCAGAGGTTTTTTAAATAGGATTTCAGGATTCGGTAAAGCTTCTGGAAAGGTTGTATGCGGACTTTAGGCTTCGGGTGTAAAGGTGGGGGACCTTGGCCCACTTCCCCCTGGGCCCCGTGGCTTCGCGACGACCGCGGACGGACGCGCCTGACCCGGCGAGGGTAGAGGTCCACCACATGTTATGGGGTTATTTACTATGGTTACCTCACCTGCGTGCGGTGATAGCTTTGTAGAGGGACTCAGCGACATGTGTGCAGGAAACAGAGTTTAACGATGATTAGAAACTCCCATTTTTCATCCAGTTGAAGCCTTAATTTTGATCATCATCTAACAAATTGTCTTCATGGCAAACCTGACCCTACCTCGCATCGAGCACGCCGAGGCGAAACAAAAAAGTGAAATGATGTTAGATGCTTGATAAGTATAGAAACATTTTCATTTTGTTGATAATTTGAGGATTTGTAATTTCTTGATGTCCCTTTGAAAATATTTTTTTTAAAATAAAAAAAAGGGAAAACACTTGAATTTCAAAAATGTATTTAAGAATTAATTAATTGTTCACAAAAGGGTCTCACTAAAAAAACATTTTTAAAAAACATTTTCACTAAAACATGTTTAAAAACACTTTCAAAAAACATTTTAAAAACCAAAATTTCCATTGCACCTACCTCTATATATATATATCAAGAACATAATAGAAATAATAACCATTCTATTATGTTCTTGACTCAAACCTTATCCTTGAAGATAGCTCCCATTTCATAGATAGGACCACTATATACATATAGATATATCACGTTATTCGTATGTTAAATTCAATAACTATATCATATACATAATAATATACATATTACGTGTATTATATTGAAAGGGATTATATCTGACTCAAAACTCTAATATAAATATAATTTAATCCAAAACCTTATGATATATATCATGTTTGTAGTAGTAGATAGATGAGGTGTTACATTGCAAGAGACTTGATGTGACACCCGAAATCTTAATGTGAATGTAATTTACTCTAAAACTTTTGGTATATATTCAAGAATTCTTACTACCGCCATCAATAAAATTTTATCGAATAAAATTATAAAGGAAATGATACTCCACAATGCTCCTTTTTTTCATATAATTTAATTTATCATACCCATTATTATAACATTAATATAAACGATATTGTTACTTATATTCATATCAAAATAAATTTAGGTCCACAAGAGAACAAAAAAAAACAAAAAAAAAGTGATTTCACTATATTTCTAATCAAGCATCGATGGGTTTCACAAAATATATATATATATTTTAAATATATTTCACACACTATATATATCCTTTTGTCTTCAATTACACTTGGCAAGAGTTTGGGGAGATTGTTTTGGACATAGAGTGTGTATTGATTTTGACTCTATTTATTTTTCACAATTAATGAAATGGGATTTTATCTTCTTTGTCCATATCTTTATATTATCATTTGACATTATCCAACTTTGATAGAAAATCCAAATAATTTTCATCCATATAGTTTTAAGATAAAGTTTGGGAAAAAAACAAGGCAGATTTTATTTATGCTTCTTTAAGATTAGATCATATCTTAAATAGATAAAAATAATAATAATAATTAACTTATATATAATAACAAATTTTTCATTGATTATCATCGGAGATAACTTGAATATTTTTTAGAAATAAGAGAATATATATTCTTTTTAATGATGTGTATATTAAGGTGGCATTATTATATCATTTATCATATTATTTCGTCATAAGCATGCTTCTATTAAATATTGACATTATATAAAGATAAAAATTCTCGCGAATCCTATATTTTAGATTTATTACTACACACACCATCGCATGTTTAAAATTACTGAAAAAATCTAGATTTTGTTTGTAATTAAAATTAAAAGTCCCGTTAAAATTAAGCTTAGAGAAATGGAATAAATTCTTGTTGAACATGTCTTTCTTTATGCTGCGTTGATTCTTGGGTTTCTGCAGTGCAATGAGATGATGATTCTGATATGCTTTTCTAATGTTTGGTAACATCACTTGAGGTTCCTGGTTCTGTTTTTGAACGCCTTGTGTCGTTCTCGAATATTGCTCATCTTTCTTATTTTTGGAAAAAAAAAAANTCAGGAACACAACAAATGCATGCAAAGAAACAAAAGAAAAATCTTTAAAAATAAACACAATGCAACTGTCTCTTAATAAAAATAAAAATAAAAATAAAAAAAACCTGAGAAGAAGTTTTGTCATCCATGGGCAGAAGGGGGTCGATGGAGATGAAAAGTTTGGCCACATGGCGAGAAGGGCCATTGGAAGGAGGCTGAAAAGAGCGAGAGACCAATGCAGGACATTTCATTAGAAGCATTGTTCGTTCTGCCTGCCTTGTATCAACAACTCCACCATAACCGGTATTGCGATGATTGGCGGGTTCGTCCATAAGAGAGATGAGGGTGAAAATGCAAAAAATGAAAAGTAATAAGACGGTTTTTTGGAGTTTGTTTATTTATCTATGTTTAGGGGTGTTGTTTAGATTCTGCTTTATCATATCATGGATCAAGTGGAATCCATTAGTTTGTTCTTGTTGTGTGTTTTTATTGCTAATACAAGTATTTCAAATTCTATCAAAACTGTTTTTAAAAGACCAAATCTGTTTTCAAGAGTTTGGTGGATAAGTGATAAACGTAATTTTTTATTATTTTTTTTTTTTTATATAGGAAACCTTTTGATTACAATTTAAGTAGAGGTTAATTTCATTTTTGGCACAAATATTAACTTCGTTTAGGCATGGCAATGTTTCCCGGGATTTCGGGGACCCGTCCCGCCCCGCCCCATATGGGGCGGGGAAGCCCCGGTTTTTTCAGGGATAGGGGCGGGGGTGGGGGGTGTTTTAATCCCCATTCTCGGAGATGGGGCAGGGGTGGGTGATGCCTTTCCCCCGACCCGCCCCGTATATAATATATAAAATTAAAAAAATGTATATATATATTTACGTTTCACTAATATCCTTATATTTCACCTAATTATACAATTATTCTACCTATATAAACCCATATTTTCCTAATTTCCCTCACCCTAAACAATTAAACAAGAACAAACCCTGACCCATATTTATGTATGATTAATTATGTTTAAACGATTAATTTAAGTGTTTGTCATGTAGACGAGAATTAACTATTGTGTTTGGTAATGCTCAAATTTATTTATGTTTATATAAAATTAAGGGGACAGGGACGGGCCTCCAACATTCCCCTTTGAGGCGGGGAAGGGGAATTCTTGTCATCCCCGTAACGGGGATGGGGCGGGGGTGAGGAATGATTTTGAGGGTGGGGATAGGTACGATGAATGAGATCCCCGCCCCATTGCCATGCCTAACTTCGTTTAGTGGTTGTCTTGTTAGTTTTTGAAATCAATTCAAAAACTAACAAGACAAGCATGAAACAAAGTTATTAAAAATAATCAATGCTCAAATGTTATTTGGACACCTGATCCACCAAGTTTCAATCTAGAAGTAATGATGGGTAAAATTCTCGGCCGTCGGATGATTCGATAGAAACTCTTAAATGTATTACTCAAAAAGTCATGATTTCAAGTCCTTTCTCGATTGTTAATATGGATAATCACTCGAACTCTTATCTAACTAGTAATTCTAAAGTCCTGGAGGATTAGTTAAGATACGCATAAATTGTCTGGATATCTCCAATCATAAAAATGAAAAATAAAAAAAAATTACAATTGAAACTACTGTCTTTATAAACTATCACCTTCAAATAAAGTTGTCGAGGTTAACTTATTTTTTGTACCATTACAATGTAATTGAAATTTTATAAACCACAAATGGATGATCAGATACTAAAAGAACAAAAGAAGATTCTATGAGCTTTTCTAAATTCGAGCCCCCACGGACCCTAATAACGGTGGCCATTAAGAGGCTTGCTCCAAATTTGTTGAGATGCATACAAGTTGACCTGAACATCTATCACCAAAATATATATATAATAAATGGCCTTTCAGGGGAATGAAAATTCACCCAAGGTTTGAAATCTGATTGTCGAAAGCTTAGTACCGATTCCCAGGATTGTAAAAATTTCACGTGATTCAGTTCAATATATTCCAATTGTACAAATGTTTATGCTCAATGGGTTGCCTATAATCAAGAAATACATTAGAAACAATGAAAGAACAAGAATGGATTTGAATCTGATATTATTTCATATAAGCCTGAGACAAACAAAAAGCAAGATGGTCAAAACCTCGTATCTTATATGCTGCTGACTTCTTCTATGTCACAAGATTAGAAACTAACATTGAATTAAAAAATAATAATAATAATAATAATAAAAACATTTAAATAGAAAATTTAAAAATCAATCTCATAGAGTCAGATCAGCATAAAGCAAGTCATGGAAGAAATCAGGCACTAATATTTTTGAAAATTAAACAAGCTTTCAACCGCGCTCTTCAGGCTAGCCTGGCATGGCCGGCTTTGTTATTTAACACATAAATTCATGCCTAAAGTCCTGATTTAACCTTAACTCGTTCAAGGAAAGCACAGGTGAAGAAGCAACATATATAAAATGCTGAATAATACAATGATTGCTGAAGAATGCATTATATTCAAACAAGTTACAGATCTCCAATGCTTCATCTCAAAGCAGAAGTCATAGATACGACAAAATATGGCATGTAATTCATCATGGTAGTTACAAAATTCATTGTAAGACGGTACAATCCGTTGGGATTTATACTGGAACTGAATCAGAGCTGTTGCTTCTGACAGTATTTTGCTTCCTTTCTGCCTGAAGTGATCGGCACAATGATTCAAGTTTTTCTTTCTGATTCTTGGATTTTTCCAATTGTTTCTTCATTCTCTCACGCTGGTTGGACAAAGAAAGAGTTTTAAGTACTATATAATTTAACAATAAGATATAAAAAGCATATCTCAATCCAAAGGGGGGAACGTAGGAAAAAGATGTGATAGTGTATGTCAGCGAAACCAATTAGAACAATAGTCCATGATTGCCCTGTTTCATGCAGAAAGACCAACGATGGTGGCAAGAAGAACCACCTCAGACAAGACTTGTCGTCGTTAAAAGGAATTAACTAGCAATAAAATCAGCGCAACAAACTTCAATGGCAACAATAACAGAAGTTTTCTCCAACAATTTCTGCACTCATTACATGAAGCTTAAGCACGAGGGATAGTGTTATATGGCATAGATATTCTAAAAGGGAAAAAATTACTTTTTAAAAATCCAAGCCACAATGGTCCTAGCATATAGAGGGCAGATGGTCTTTGGGTGGGAGGGTGTTCAGGGTTCAGTCTTTACAGTAAAAGGGAAAAAGAGAAAGATAAGATCAAGAAAATGCAAAAACAACTAACCTCCTCAACAAGTTCTATAAGTGTAACATCTGATTTCTCACATTTGCTCTTCAAGAATACATTTTCCTTCTTCAGTTCCTTGATTGATTTTGCCATCTAGTGTTTACGTACAAAGAAATAAAAATGGTACATTAGCATCATGCAATCATGAAAACCAAGCCTTAAATCCATATATCTAATCTTTAAAAAAAGTAAAATTTTACCTTTTCAATCTCTTGCTTAAATGTTTCGAAGACCTCATTGCTCTTCAACAATGCATCCTGCAGAGTCAAATAGCTATTTACTTCGGGCACAAGATAACCCAATAAAATATTCTTTGATAACTTTACTATGTATCTACTAATTAAGAGACTGCTTTACACATGCACAGTAGATACTTAATGAGACCATGAGACCATGCCTTAAATTGAATTAATGTGAAATGTGGTACAAATATCCCATGACTACCTGAACAAGCACTTGGATTAAATCCATCTCTAACTCAAAGAAAAAATGATTCTGACACCATGCTAAGAAGTCAGAACAACCAACCCTTGCATTATACATGTCATGAGGACAAAATTTCAAAAAGGTTACACATCCAACCACCCAAATACAATTAAATTTAATTGATTAACCAACATCCCAAAATACATCCTTTAGCTCTTATTATCATATTATTATTTTATAGAGATATTTAAGAATGCTAGGTGAGAGAGACAAAAGAATGTCTCCTATGCAACTATCATCAAAATGTGGTCAGTAAGGTTTTTATGCATTATTTTAAGGCAATGAACTCAAATGAGGTAGACCTGGAATTGCTGGAATTTTTCTCCGTCAGCAGTCAACTGCAAGCGCAAATTCTTTTCGGTAGCCAGTAATTGGGATACCTGCTCAGCATATAATTTCATTTGGGACTGCTCCTGAACTAGTTTCTCTTCATGCTGCTTAATTTTTAATTCAGCAAGCTGAAGTTCCAGGGTTTTCTGCTTTAACTATGCATCCAAAGTCCACAGCAATATAACATCAATCAATAAGTCAAGAAGCCTAAGTCAAAAAACATCAGATAAACAAGTAAAAGTTAATCTAAACCTTCTGTCCATATTGTTGTTCAGTAAGGGCATACTGATCAGCTAGCTGCTTCAGATTATTTCTCAACCTAGACATAAAAAATAAGAGTAAATAACAGCTAGACAAAATATAGGGGTGAGATAAAATTCAAAAAACAAAATAAAATTGAAAACTTCGCCTGAATTCTCTTGTTCTTACATCTCATTCTCCTTTAGCTGAGTAAGACACTCATCCTTTTGCTCATCTAGCTTAACGCTAACATCCTACAACAAAAAGAAACAAACATTACAGAAATGAGCATAAATTGGAAAAAGAAAATGTAAATGGAAAGAGAAAAACGCATGAAGAGAACCATAAGCCCCAGTAAGAGAGTGAAAAAATATAATAAAATAACATCATAGGAAAACCAATTTAAAAATAAAAAATTCAAGAAACCAAGGTAACAGGCACTCTCCAATTCATGTTAGCATCAAGCAATTGGAGTTCTCACCTTATTACTTTATAGCCTGCGCAGACAGATATAACAAATTAACTAATCAATTAATTTTAGAGGTAAGAGTTAACTTAAACTGAGCATTTAGAACACATGCCACATAGAATGCTCAAATAAACATGAACAACAAAATTTGAGAACAATCATGCATTCATATGCTTATAGCTTATATGCTACACTAGGTTAAAGCAGGACAGAAAAGCAAGACGTAAAGAATAATTCACACATTCTCAACTAGTGAAGACCATAAATTAAACCTTGATTGCATCTTGAAACTTGGCTGATAAATCTAGTCTCAAGTTCTGTCCCTCTGTTGATACCCGCTTGCACTCATCCTGTGCAATAGTGAGCAAGCATCAATTCTCCATGAAACCGACAAATAGCTAGAAGGATGATTATGGGTCACTGTACAACTTCCCATACCAAATTGGTAAGGGAAATTAACTTAAGTAGAGAATATTTCATAGAATTTAAATTACTCCATGGGAAGAAAAGTGATCGTGAAAAAGTATACCATTAGCATCTTGTTCTGACGTTGTAATTCTCTACAAAGAGACTCTAGCTTATCTCTAACAGCAATAGCTACAAATAGAAAATAAAAAGGGTGAAATCAGTGAAATGATATCGTCTACCTTCAACGTCAATAATAATGTATTAGGATACAAGTCAATAAAGTATACATGCTTCTGACCAAGCAAATTTTTCAACAAGTAAATAACAAGTTAGTATTACAATCTCTCTGCACAGTTTATATAAGGTTAAAAGGAAATCTATTTTATACAACAAAAGAATATTCCATAATATCACATAATGGTATCTCTAATTTCCAGACTCTTTGCAATACATCAATCTCATTTGACGGATTTTTACAAGTCTTCTTCTCAGCACGCCCAAATGGAATTACATCATCTTAACAGCAATTCATTGATAGAAAACCTTACTTTATAACAAAGACTATAAAATAATAAACGATGTCCCTTTTACCCATATGCACCAGATATATCATATGATTAAACCTCTGAACAAGCACCGTAGCAATCAGGGTTCATCTCAACTATCACAAAAGTTGTAAAAGCAAAGCCAAAGGATAACTTACCTGCATCTCTTTCGGCAAGAACTTGTTGATATCTCAGAGTGAATTCAAGAAACTCAGTTTCGGATTTAAAAGTGCGCTTTGTACTCTTACGTTTGGTTTCGGTGTTTTCCTGCACAACCACAAAGTAAACTATTTAAGCTAGTGAACTACATTTTGAAATTTGAAAACAATCAAAAAATGAAGAGTAAATTCATACACCCACAATACTCAAAATGGGAAAATATGACAGGTTCAAAAGTGAATGCTTAAAACTAACCAAAAAATAAAAACTCTGTAGATCATCATACAGATCTATAGAAAAATAACATCAAAGTACGAAAATATTATTAACCGGTTTTCTGCTTTTCAAAGAATCATCACTTTCTGATGCAGATAACTCCTTTGTACGGGTTCCCTGCGCATCTGATCTTCCTTCAATTGCTACAAAATGAATGAAATAGGGTACATTTTGAAAATGTCAAAAAACAGAAATACAAAGACATATTGATAGAGATGCATATGTATGAACAATTCTCTGGATGCATGGCCTAAATTAAAATACTTTACTTCTAAGATCCTTCAAGAAGTTGGTGCCTTCAGAAATCCAACTATATTCAACTCAATTCCTTTTGTCATTCTAATACAAAAGCCAATCACCTAAAGCATCAATTCTTTGGAAGTATATCAAGCTTTTCAGATGTGTCTACCAAAATCGTTTCAAGGGTTTAATAACTGTCAGTATATATTCTAATCGTTTGACATAACACACATTCATTTGGTCATTCCTGC